TTCAATTAAATTGAATGATGCAGGAGACTACTTCTTCTCTCCAGGAGGAAATAATTATCTAAATTTAGCTACAATGTTATCCACATCTCAAGAGTTCACTTCTAGAATATTACAATATTCATATTATATGATAAATGGTATGAATGTTAAATATGCAAGAAGGTGGATAGATCCAATAAGTTATGGAGTTAATGGTACTTCACCTGGATTTTTAGCAAACTCATTTCATAATGGATTAGCAATGCTATCATCTAACTTTTACCCTAACTTAGCAAGTACATTTGTAGGGAGTCCAGTAGAGAGAGCAGACTCATCATGGGAGGTAAGCCCATATACATGGACTACTCAATCTCACTATCAACCATTTCCTAAGAACTTCTCAACAGGTCCAAACTCAAATGGTTTAGGTGTATGGAATGCTTGTTCCCAATATGCAAGTATATCAGGAGAATTAGCAATATACAATGATGGAGCAGATACAGTAAAAGCTTCAGACGTAGATCATATATCAATATTTGATGTAGAAATAAACTTATACATAACATTCTGTAATAATACTGGTATATAACCGGGAAAAATATTCAAATTTAAAATTTCACTTAAAATTATTAATTATTTAATTTAATTAATTAACTTATATATATATATTCCTACTATTCCTACCTATAGTAATATTCCTACCGTACCTACTTATAATAAAATAAAAAAAATTATATAGTGAAAAATATAGGTAACTGGCTGCTATAAAATGAGGACCATCGAGAACGTAGTGATGGTTTACATCGATGGTCCGAATAATAAAAAAAAGATATTATTATAATATTAATGTGCGTAACTCCATAATTAATTAATTAATTAATTAATATATAAGGAGTTAATTATTTATTTAATTAATTTAAATAAATGGAAGGCAGAAAAAGATATAATGTGGGCAGATACATACAAAAGAAGTATGGAAGAAGGAAAGCTTACTCTAAGCTTAACCCATTCAGGTCTATGGTACAAAGACGTACTAAGACTAATCAACAGGCAATTAAATGTACAAGTACTCATTCAATTAAATTGAATGATGCAGGAGACTACTTCTTCTCTCCAGGAGGAAATAATTATCTAAATTTAGCTACAATGTTATCCACATCTCAAGAGTTCACTTCTAGAATATTACAATATTCA